GAGAGAGAGAGAGAGAGAGAGAGAGAGAGAGAGAGAGAGAGAGAGAGGAGAGAGTTCGTTCCAAGGTGCGCAGCCTCCGCCCTCCGGGCCGGGCAGGTAACAGTAGGCGGAGCCGCATCCTACCTGGCGCTGCGTCCTCTCCTCCACCCAGGTGGATGGGGCGCTGCAGCCCTGTTCCTTTCTCTGGCTTCTCCGGGATGGGCAGCCCAGTTGGTACCCAGAAGCCGCCGCATCCTCTGAATGGACCCAGGGACTAGCGCCGGGGCGCAGGGCTGGACCTGGGAGTTTGGGTCTCCTGCGTGGTTCCTTCTCCGGTGCCGGGAATTGGTGTCTGCTCCTTTTACCTGGGTGCTGTGGGAGCAGCCACGCCTCGGCGCCTCAGCGGAGCAAGGCCTGGCCACCCGCTCCCTCCTCCAGCCCCGCCCGCTATGCCCTCCCAGGAGGATGGGGAACCTGTTTGCCAGCTGCCACAGCCCAGCTCCGCGAGCCTCTGCCTGTTGCCGCCTACACATCAGCACGCCACACACACCCAGAGTCCCAGGTTCCTCTTCGGGGGTGATCCGAAAGCACGAGGCCCAGCTGCTACTTTCTAGACTGGCAAACAGAGCAGGTAACTTTTCTGGCCAGGAGGAGGTGGAGCACGCTGTCTAGCGTGCTTTCTGGACAGGCCTCCTCCGGTGGAGCTGAGGACAAAGGTCTTAGCTCTCTGCGGCCCTGGGTTCTTCACTTGCACAGAGCCGGGCCTGCAGCCCTCGCCTGTACCTGGGCATTGACAACTGTATAAAGACTCAAGAAATCCACTTGGTTGGCCCAAGATTAGGCTATTTCTCCAAGCCAAGGAGGCCCTGGACCGCCTCAGCCCTAACAGTCCATTGCCCAGCCTGCTCCCTCATCCTCCCTCAGGCCTGGGAGTCAGTGCCCAGCCTCCTCCCTCAGTCCCCAAAGGTCCTTGCTCAGACTCTCTCCTACAGACCCAGGAATTTGCCTCAGCATGCCTTTGACTGCAAGAAAGCATCCAGCTCTGGCCCCTCGTGGAGCCTGAGCCTGCCCATCCCCCAGGGTGTCTGGGGAGCACCTGTGCAGGACACTTTCTGGTGAAAGAAGCACTAGGATTGCATCAGGGAGGACAGACAGCAGCTGAGCACAGGAGCTGACTACTAAGGGGTTGGTGAGGGTGGCTGGCCCGTGGCCAGCTGGGAGCCTTCCACCTGCTGAGGACTCCTCTTTCACATGGCTGATGCAGCTTTCCTGATTAAAGAAGCCCCAGACCCCCGCCCCTCCAACACCGCTTGAACCTTGAAATTCAAATAGGGTGGACCAGATGGAGAGATGGCTCAGTGGTCAAATAGGGTGGACTACACAGTTGCTAACACAGAAAGTCTGAGGCCCACAGCTCCTTCTTAGTACCTAGGAGCCAGATCCCAGCCTCCTCCCTCAGACAGACCCAGGGCCCCAAATTCCAGCTTTCCTCCCCTCAGATGCTGAAATGCAGACCCTAGCCTCCTCCCTCAGACCCAGGAGTGTAGACCCCAGCCTCCTGCCTCAGACCCAGGAGTGAGACCCCAGCCTCCTCCCTAAGACCCAGGAGTACAGACCCCAGCCTCTTGCCTCAGACCCAGGAGTGAGACCCCAGCCTCCTGCCTCAGACCCAGGAGTACAGGCCCCAGCCTCCTCCCTGAGACCCAGGAGTACAGACCCCAGCCTCTTGCCTCAGACCCAGGAGTGAGACCCCAGCCTCCTGCCTCAGACACAAGAGTGAGACCCCAGTTCCTCCCTCAGACCCCAAATCCCAAACAGTGAAGGGCAGATCCCAGCCTCCTACTTTAGACCTGGGAGTCCAGACTCCAACCCTCCTCTCTCGGACCCAGGAGCACAGACCCCAGCCTCATCCCACAGAGCTAGGAGTGCAAACCCCAATACTCTTTCCCCAAACCTAGGGGTCCATGCCCAGCACTTTTCCCCCAGACCCCTGTTGGAAAGACCCCTCCCCCATTGCATCATCCATCCAGGCCGCCCTGGCCACGGTGGAATTCAGGTTCCTGCCAAGTGTGTCAAATATCACGCGTCAGGAGTGGGGAGGGCACATGGGCGGTCCTGTCTGGGTATAAATTGTGGTATTTCTGCATCCACCAGACAGCCTTAGCGTCTTGTCAGCTGGGGAGTCACCTCTGGAGAAGCAGGCATTCACTTTGCCTGAGCCCCAGGCTGAAGCTGAGCCTTCTCTGCTGGGGCACCGGAGTCCAGACGACTCTCCTCAGACACCTGCCAAGGGCTCTCCCTAAAGGAGAGTGATTAGCTGACTGGATGGAATCTAGTGTTGGGGTCCTGGGCCTGTGGGTCCCTCTGCTGGCTGTCTTCATGCTGGAGGTCTGCCAGACACACCCCATCCCTGACTCCAGCCCTCTCCTCCAGTTTGGAAGTCAAGTCCGGCAGAGGTACCTCTACACAGACGATGACCAGGACACTGAAGCCCACCTGGAGATCAGGCAGGATGGAACTGTGGCAGGCGCTGCACACCGCAGCCCAGAAAGTGAGTGGGGGGACGGGGCCTCATGGAGCTGAGAGGACTAGGGTCCTGGGTCTTCCCTGGTGTGAGCAGACCCTGAGTGTCTTTGTCTTGTCCCACAGGTCTCCTGGAGCTCAAAGCCTTGAAGCCAGGGGTCATTCAAATTCTGGGTGTCAAGGCCTCTAGGTTTCTTTGCCAACAGCCAGATGGAACCCTATATGGATCTGTGAGTGTTTTTCTGTGGCGCTCCCTGAGAGGCCCCATTCTTACACTCAAGAGTGTGTGCTTAGCGCATCCCCGCCCCTGGGCCTGGGCCTGCTGTCTGTGTTTGCGAGTGGAGAAAACTGAGGCTCGGGCAGCTCACCTGACGTATGTGAGAGGCAGACTGGCCCTCAGAGAGGCCAACTGGCAGGACTGTAGCCCTGTACCTGACCACGTGAGCTCCCACAGGGCCTGCTCCTGCTCGAAGTGGGGCATTCTGGTGCCCATGACCAATAAATGACGGGACTGGAGACGGTGAGCAGAATGCCAGCCCAGACAGAGAAAAGTTGAGGGAGGAGGCTGGGCCTGAACCTACTTAGTGGTCTGCAGGTAGGGGAGGGCTGGGGCTAGAACTCTAGGCGTGAGGGGAGCTGGTCCAGATTCGGACCGTGAGGTTAGGAGGCTGGGGCTGGTCAGGGGTTGGCGAGTGAAAACGGACTGTGTGTCTCTGACTCTCCCCTGTGCCCCCAGCCTTCCTTCGACCCTGCTGCCTGCAGCTTCAGGGAGCTGCTGCTTCAGGATGGGTACAATGTATACCGGTCTGAGGCCCGTGGCCTGCTCCTCCGCCTGCCCCAGAGGAACTTGGCAAACCAGGGTCCAGCATCCCGGGGACCTGTGCGCTTCCTGCCCATGCCTGGCCTGCTCCAAGAGCCCCAAGAGCCACCAGGATTCCTGGCCCCAGAGCCCCCAGATGTGGGCTCCTCTGACCCGCTGAGTATGGTAGAGCCTTCACTGGGCCAAAGCCCCAGCTATGCTTCTTGAAGCCCTCTGATTCCAGGAACATTTCTTTTTGGGTTTCCTCTTATTTATTATGGGTATTTATTTATTTATTTTAAAATTTTTCTTACTTGGAATAATAGAGTCTGTGTTTTTGTTTGTTTGTTTTTCAAAACAGTTTCAAAATAGGACCTATTATGACTATTTTTTTTTCCTTTCATTCTTTGTTTCTTACTATGTTTCTTTGTTTCTTTCTTTTCTTCTTTGGAGACAGTTTTGTTTCTTACTATGTTTCTTTGTTTCTTTCTTTTCTTCTTTGGAGACAGGGTCTTACTATGTAGCCCTGACTGGTCTGTAGCTTACTATGTAGACCAGACTGGCTTCAATATCACACTGATCCATCTGCCTCTACTTCCCTAGTGCTGGGATTAATGGTGTGCACATCTGGCTCCAATTTCTAGATAAAGTCTCATCCATAGTAGCTGAGATCAGTGTTAGATCTTAAACCTGGGACAAGAGCTGAGGTGCCTATTTGACATATCAAAGCGGACCTGGTCACCAGGTTCTCCCAGCATCCCTCAGTTTCTCCCTGTTACAGGGCCCTCCTGCCTGGCACACCCTACCCTCTCCCCTGAATTCTCAAGCCTGGTGGCTGGGCTGCTCTTCCCCTCCCTCCTCTTCCCCTCACACGGCCCGGCTCAGTCTGGTCATGACCACTCTGGACTCTCCCAGATGTCCCTGTCACTGCTATGCTGTCCCACATGTGTGATAAACTTCTCCATCATGCCTAGGAGCTGCCATGTTCCTTTCCTTTCCATTCTTAGTTCATGTTTTCATTCATTTGGTGTTGAAAACCCAGGACCAGTCATGTTCCTTTCCTATCTTCTTCATTTATTTAAGAAATTAATGTATCTTTTTGAAAAGACAACCCTTTTTGCTTCCAATACTGAAGATGGAACCATGGGCTTTGTTTCTGCAATGGAAGGGCTCAATCATAGCACTACATCCCCAGCCCCTCACTGGGGAATTCTAGGCAGAGGCTCTACCACTGCACCACACCCCCAGCCCCTCACTAGGGAATTCTAGGCAGGGGCTCTACCACTAGGCCAAGCCCTCAGCTCTTTACTGGGGAATTCTAGGCAAGGTCTCTGTTCTGTCACATCTCAGTTTTCAGTTTTTTGCTTTCTATTTTGAGACAGACTCTCACCATGCTGGCCTTGAGCTTGTGATCCTGTTGAGTAAGTGAAATAACAGAGGTAGGATAATAGTCTTTGCTCCACAGTCTTGACGGAGCTCATACTATGTCAGAAAAACATAAAAACAAAAACAAATTAATGTCATAAAATGCAGTAGTGATTAGCCAGTCATGTGGGACATAATGGCTGGTGCACTGAAAAGCAGGAGCATGCATTCTCCCCTGGCAGGGATGCCTTGCCAGGCCACCTCGGTAGAGGATGCGTTCAGTCCCAATACCACTTGATGTTCTGGGATGGGTGGCCAGCAGGGCTCCCCCTTTCTGAGGATAAGGGGAATAGGAAAGAAGGGTGGGGCTGGGAGGAGAGGAGAGGGGGGGCTAAGATTGGAGTGTAGAGTGGATAAATAAATAAGCAAGTAAATAAAACAAACTTCCTATACATTCTCACCCCACAGTGAGGCTGACTACCCAGTACAGCCCAATAGTTGTATCCTATAAATAGTTCTGTGTGTTATAGAACTACTAAGCTCTATCCTGGCAGCTTTTCTTGACATTGTGAGGAAGTTCACTTTGAATACCCGGGCATGGTGGTGCGTGATTTTAATTCCAGCATTCAGGAGGTAGAGATGGTTGGATCTCAGCGAGTTTGACTTTAGCCTGAATTCTAGGCCACACAGAGCTACATAGTGAGATCTGTATCAAAAAAGAAGAAGGAAAAGGAAGGAAGGAAGAAAGAAAGGAAAGAAAAGAAAACTGAAAAAGAAAGAAAAAAGAAAAACTAAAATAGAAAAAAAAACAAAAAAACAAAAAAACACCCACCACACAAAATTTCCCGTGTTCACCATAAGTGTACTCATTCAGAAGTGGCTTGAACAGTCAGTCACGGTGCTCACACCTTTGAGCCCAGAACTTGAGAGGCAGAGGCAGGTGGGTCTCTGAGGGTTCGAGGCCAGCCTGCTCTACCAAGGAAGTCCAGGGCAGCCAGGGCTACACAGAGAAACCCTGTTTCAGGGGAAGTGGAGAAGAGAACACATTTATTTTGTGTAATCACTTTATTTGTTTTGAGACAGGCTCTCAATGTGTGGTCCAGGCTGCCTGGACTTGTAGTCCTCCCGCTCAGCATCCTGAATGCTGGGATTACAGCGGTGAACCCCTAAACCTGCTGGCCATACATCCCACCTTCACAACTTTCTCATTGTTTTTGCTCTTGTTATTTCAGATGGAATCTTGTCAAATAGCCAAAGCTGGCCTTGAACTCACAGAGATCCTCCTGCCTTGCGCTTTAGAGTGCTAGGATCACAGACACATGTTGCCACTGAAGGCCAATAGCTCGGCCTCTTTGGAAAACTGAAACTCCACCTGCAGTGTCCCAATTCCTCATTCCCTTTCCTGTCAATTCTGGGCCAGTTTTCCCAACACCATTTATTGGAAAGACTGCAGTGAAATGTTTCCACCACTGACTAGGATTTTGTGTGTAGACAAGAAAAAGCCATGACAATTTGGGTTTTTGTTAATGATCAATTAATTTTTAAAGAATTAACTTTTCTGTCAACAGTCCACTGCCAAACTTCCACAACTAAAAATAGCAAGCCAAGCATTTCACCATTTTTGGTTTTTTTTCAAAAATGAAAAAACTTGAACATTGTTAAGTATAATCAGGAGACTCCTGGGCTGGGCTCAGTGGTCAGTGCTCACTCAGCATGCACAGACAGTCCTCAGCACTACTTAACCTGGAGTGGTGGCTTCTCCCGGGGCCAGGAGTTCATGGTCATCGGCTGTGTAAATTCAGGGCCAGCCTGGGAAGGGAGCGGCACCTCATTTTTCAGCGCGCAGGTAAAAGGCAGAAGACAACTTGGGTGAGTCAGTTCTCTCCTGCCCTGAGCCTGATGATCAAATCAGGTTGTCAGCCTTGACACAAGCACCTTTCCCCATGGAGCCCTATCGCCTAGCCCTGGCTGTCTTTTAAATGTTTTAAAATTTATTTTTATTTATATATGTGGTTATGTACACATTTGTACCGGTGCCTCTGAGGCCAGGAAAGGGTGTCAGAGCTCCTGAACACGGGGTTCCAGATGACTGTGAGCCCCTGGACACGGGTGCTGGGAGCTGCTCTCACACTTCCAGGCAAGAGGAGTAAGGCTGTTCACCACTGAGCCCTTCTCCTCCCTCCCTCTACCTCTCCCCCTCTTTCTCTTCTTCCTTCCTTCCTTTCTTCCTTTCTTCTTTCAATTTTCTGAGACAGGGACTCACACAGCCCGGTTAGCTTTGACCTTGCTACAGCTGAGGCTGGCCTTAAATTCCAAAGCCTCCTGTGTCCAAGCTCCAAATTCTGGGATGGATTACAGGTGCGCAGCACACTTGGGTTTCTGTAGTGCAGGAGAAGGAACTCGGCTTCATGCATGATAGATTAGCACTTATCTTCAGGACAAAAGAGACGGAGGAGCAGTCTGGGACCCTGCCCCTAAGAAGGCCCTCAGCAGACTCAGAATTTACTACACTTTGGCCATAGATTCCTGTGCCCTCAAAACAGCTCGAGGTTTGCAGGACCTGTTGATAGGGATCTCTGGGTCTGTGAGGGACTGGGCAGTTAGGAGGTCCATGCAGGTCTGCCTTTCAGATATACTCAGCTTCCTCACACATTCCTTACAATGCGGCACCTTGCACTGCGTCACACCATATCAGAGCTGCCTTGTGGCTGGTTCATTACACATCAGGGTGAGCTGCTTTATGGCTGGCTCTTATCAGACAAGCAAGCAAACAAGGAAAGAAATAACCAACCAGTGAGCACAAGCCATGCTCCCTTTCCTGCTGCCGCTTACTGCTGTGTCCGGGAGCTGCCTTTAATATTCCTTTATTTAGTTACACAAACCATAACCGGATGCGACTCTTTTCTTTTGATTTCTGCCTGGTCTGTTTCCATTTCTTGTTCTGCCACAAAATAATATAGTGAATAAACAAAGTACTGTGGCAGGGTAGTGGTGGCGCACGCCTTTAATCCCAGCTCGTAGGAGGCAGAGGCAGGGGGATCTCTAAATTTGGCACCAGCCTGGTCTACAGAGTGAGTCCAGGACAGCCAGGGTTACACAGAGAAACCCTGTCTCAAAAACAAAAAACAAAAACAAAAAGACACAAAACATAAAAAACAGATAAATTTAAAAAAAACTAAAAGAAAATAAAAACAAAACAAAAAAAATGATGGTACCTGGGATGGCTGGAACAAATCTCCAGCATGTTGTCCAATCGGCCTCTGGCAAATCTTGTCCACTTTAATCTCACCTACAATGCAAGCATTTATCTGCACACAAAGCATGCTATCAGACTTCGGGGTCTTTGCCTATCTAAGAAGCTGACAATGGCAGGGAAGTGTGGTCGTCTTGTGCGCTTCTATCTATAAATTTGCTTATTTGTTCACAGGTGTGTAAGACAGATGGGGCTGGGGTGGGTGTGGCTCAGAAGCAGAGACCCTGCCTGGACTACCCACCCAAGTGAAGGGCTGGGGGGCTATCAGGCTAAAGAGCCACCAGTGAGGGGCTCGACCATTGCCCGATCGCAGGGGTTAGCCTAACATGTTTAAGGCCCTGATCTCAAATTCCAGCTCACACAGAACCAACCCCCCCCCCCCCAATAAATGTGGTGGTAGCTGGAATAAGAAATACTCTTGGTAGGATCGTGTGTTTGAACACTTGGCTCCCAGTTGGTGATGATGTCTGGGAGGCTGTGGGAGCCTTTGGGAAGAACAGCACGTCTACATGTCCCCAGCGGCAGATTCTGGGAGTCTATGCCTCCACCCACTTCCCGTTCCCGACCCCCTCTCATTCTCTCTCCTACCTCTGTGTGGATGAATGTGAGCAGCAGCCTCCTGTTCTGGCTGCCATGATGCCTTCCTCACTCTG